TTCCTGCTCCGTCAAACTGTAAATAACCCAGAGGGCTCGGATCCCTGCTTCCATTAAACAATATGAATTAACGAAAACGAAGGGTTCTAGCCGGCTCCGAAGCAAACAGTAGTAAATGGGGGACCCTGACCATCCATCTTCTCACCAAATAAATCAAGAGTGACCTATGACAATTTCCCTTGATATTATAAAGCACAATGAAACAAGATTGTTCACTGGAAAAATCGCGGTCCCTAGAGTCCCTAATTCTCCAAAGTGTTTCAAGCTCACGATGAAAAAGTGGCAGAAATCACATTATACCGCCTGACTTGACTTACAATAAATTGAGACTATAACAATCTCCCAATCTTTAAAATACTCTGAACAGTAGTCCTACCATAGAGAATGATACTCATGGGGCTGGGTGGTAACCGTCTGAGGTATGCGCGTTGAAGTTCCAATGGTAGGATTCGAGATGGAGTTGAATCATGATTCAGTAGAGTTGATGGGCCTGGCAAAGGTCGCCACTTGTGAAGCTTACTCAGCCAAGTATAGCCAACTTCAGTCAGTATTACTCAGGAGGCTGGCTCCTCCTCAGGAAATATTAGTGAATATAAAAAGAAAAAACCAGACACCACATAAACACTTTATTATATAGAAAATATAAAATATAAAACACTTAAAAATGAAAAATTAATCCTACATTAAAAGGAAAATGAAAAAGGAAAAATAAAAAGATAACTGAATTCACGCTAATTTAACACTTGGGTGTCTGGTGTTGTGCACTGCTTGTTTGAAATCGAGCCGTTGCATGATGTGGGGGAGGGGGGGGGGGTCGGTTCGCAGGTGCTGGTTGACCACCACTGGCTAGCTCTTCACAGAGTAATGCGCCGAGATTATTATCCCGATGACAGGAAGCAGGTTCTTCACCGCTCAATGAGTGGGGTTACGTCCTGCAATTTCATACAGGTGCACAGTAAATAGATCCAAAATGGAGAATCTCTGGCCGTTAGTCCCTTTCTCCTGTTTCTGCTTCGTTGATTGACAGGTGACCCGCACTGTCATCCAAGCTGACAAGATAGACAGGTTCTCACTGCTTAACCCTTTCAGGTCCGTCCCGTAGATCTACGGCTTTACGTTCAGGGTCCAAACCGTAGATCTACGCCATGAGCTCAGCTCACTCTGATAAACTGTGAGTGGACATTTGGGCCTAATATTAGAGAATACATCTATTGTGGACTGTGAGCACCACCAAAACAGATCCTGCAGCACACAGTGCATAATGAGAGAAAAAAAATGAAAATCATGATTTTCGATTAAAACAGCAACTTTGCAGTGTTTTTTGTATGTTTTTTATAGTTGTATTTGCGATTTCTTGGTCTCATTTGATAGAATGGAAGACATATAACGAAATAGAGAGTTTTGATTGGTTTTAGCATTGGAAATGGCTTAAAACTGAGCTCAAAGTACGGAAATGTTAAAAAGTTTGCCATATTCAAGAGTAACACAAACGACCTCACACGTCAAATACACATCAGCTGGTGGTCTAATATACATTCAACAAATATGGTGATGAAATTTATACCATTATACAGTGTTGCATAACAGTAAAATCTTCTTAATTTATTTGGTGTGAATAAAACTTCATTATGTGAAATAAAAAATCAAAATGGAATTTATTTGTAAAGCCTCAAAACATAACTAATGAACAGAGGAAATGTTGTGTTATGCCAGGAATGCCTACATTGTACATTCTGGACCCCCTATTTTTGAAAATTTGGCAAATTTTGAACATTGTGGTTAAATTGCCAAATTAACAATTTTCGATCACTAATTTTCTTTTGTATTGAAACAGTTGACTTGGCGATTTCTTGTGCCAATCGCTGAATAGAAGTAATACTAGTGAAATAGCTAAACTTTGGTTGATTGGAATAATGTAATTGCCAAAATGGGAGTCAAAGTCGGCAAAATCGCCGATGTCGTAAATACGCTGACACCTCCAAAATTCGCAAAACAAAATTTCGTCCAATTTTCACCATTTCGTACTTTTTGTTTTATACCTTCTCCAAAAGATTCACTCTACGATTTCATAAGAAAGAAAATAAACAAATTATTTTTTTTGAAATATCTTGGACAGACCTGGTGCGTGACTCCAGATTTATGGCCTTGGACCCTGAAAGAGTTAAATAATCACTCTCCATGGTAAGTACGATACCCAATAACACGTGTGATTATACAGCACAGCAACATAGAGCAAGGCTGAAAGGACTAAGTTTATTATTGGTTTCAAAAGTGAAGCTTTTAACTCAATAAATCACGAGAATACAAGGCAGGCATGTACTTACATAGTGTTGGGATAGCTGTGAGTCGAGTGATTTACTTTTGACCCAGAAGCCCCCCACGTCACCTTTCGAGGGGGGGGTGGAAGAGGAGGGGAAGGAATAGCGGGAGCTAGACTGATCCCTACGTTTAACAGCAGCCGCAATCAAACTATCACTTTAGGGGTGGGGGAGAAAAGGGTGGAAAACCGGGAGCGTGACTTACCCTACCTTTAACTAGTAGCCGGCAAGAAACATCACTTTCGGGAGGGGGAAGAAAGTCGGAGAGTGACTTACCCTACCTTAACTAGTAGCCGGTAATGAAACTATTGTTACTAAATTCCTACTACCTATCATTGAACTTTTCCCTCACACTCTCCATCCTCACAAGTCCTCAGAGCAAGTATTGTAAACTGTTTGCACATCCTGGCCAGCCCTGAAGTGCTGTATGACCCGTTTGGGTTTATTGCTTAGTGTATAAGTATAATAAATAATCATATCACACTGCCTCTCTCCACAACATAACAACGGAACCTCACTCCGTTCCTAATATCATGTCCAAGTAAACAAATTCGTCACTAAGTGAGGAACATACTATAAATGGTAGTGAGTTTGTGTCAACTATCTCTGATATTGTTTTAAATGTCATCTTTGCCCCATTTTAACATTCTGGTATATTTTTAAATGTTTATACAGTAGTGTATGTAATATTGTAATAAACAGAATAGAGAAAATCAGCTCTAATATACATTATTTAGGTATACATAGTGGTCAGAGAGCTTTTTGTAAGTCTGAGTCGTTGGTAAACAAGTACGTTGGTAAGTGAGGAGAGGCTGTACTAATATCACAGGTATTACATAAGATATTTATAGTGAACATGAAAATTGGTAATACAGTGGCACCTAGGGACATGAACACCTCAAAACTCAAATAATTATGTAAGTGTATTTATGTAATTACTTTTGTAAGTGTATTTTTGGGGGTCTGAAACAGATTAATCTAATCTACATTATTCCTTATTGGAACAGATTCGTTTGGTATCGGCACTCGAACAGCCTTCTGGAATGAATTAAGTTCGTATCTCGAGGTACCACTGTATTCTTGAAGTAAAAGTTTAAGAAAATATTATAACAGTCAGTTGTTTCTTTTTTGTAGGTCATCCTGGTAGCAGAGGTTGGTACTTGTAGTACCAATACTGCTGGTCATCCTGGTAGCAGAGGTTGGTACTTGTAGTACCAATACTGCTGGTCATCCTGATACCAGAGGTTGGTACTTGTAGTACCAGTACTGCTGGTCATTCTGGTAGCAGAGGTTGGTACTTGTAGTACCAGTACCGCTGGTCATCCTGGTAGCAGAGTAGGTACTTGTAGTACCAACTACTGCTGGTCAACCTGGTACAGAGGTTGGGTACACTGAGCACCATACTGCTGGTCCTCATCCTGGTGCCAGAGGTTGGTACTTGTAGTACCAATACTGCTGGTCCACATCCAGTCCCAGCGGCTTGATACATGTAGTACCAATAAACTGCTGGTCATATCCTGTAGCAGAGTTGGAAATTTGATACCAATACTGCAGGTCATCCGTAGCAGAATGTTGGTACTTTGTAGTACCACTACACTGGTCCGCTGGTACCCGAGGATGGTCCATGAGGGGGGGGGGGGGGGGGGGGGGGGGGGGGGGGGGGGGGGGGGGGGGGGGGGGGGGGGGGGGGGGGGGGGGGGGTACCAATACTAGCTGGTCAACCTGTACCAGAGGTTTGAATACTTGTAGTACCAATATGCTGGTAATCCTAGTACCAGAGTTTGTACTTTAGTACCAATACTGCTGGTAATCCTGGAACCAGAGTTGGCACTTGTAGTACCAATACTGCTGGTATCCTGGTACCAGAGGTTGGTACTTGTATTACCAATCCTGCTGGTAATCCTGGTAACCAGAGTTGGTACTACGTAGTTACCAATACTGCTGGTCATCCTGGTACCAGAGGTTGGTACTGTAGTACCACCCCAATACTGCTGGTCAACCTGGTACCAGAGGTTTGGTATGTAGTACCACAGTACTGCTGGTCATCCTGGTACCAGCGGTTGGTACTTGTGATACATAACCGCTGTCATCTGGTACCAGAGGTTGGTCCTATGATTCGTACCAGTACTGCTGGACATCCTGGTACCAGAGGTTGGTACTTGTATTCCCAGTAAGTACCGCTGGTCATCCTGGTACAGAGGAATAACAGTTGTTATGTCAGTTTTTAGTAATCATAAGACTTTGTTGCAAAACTAAAATATATATATGACAGCATTTTTTACTATAAGCGTTTTAAATATAATATTTAGAATGTAAACAATCAGTGTTACAACAATCAACTTAAACATCGGATGTGTTAACACTTATCATTTGTGTTACACAACATAAAACACATCCCTACCACAACGCACGCACGATGAAAAAACAACCTCTGAGACTTGTGTTTGCTTTAAAACAATAACCCTTGAAGGTGTTTTATAGATGTTTTTTATGACTTTTATAGCGGTTTTCCTTAGTATCGTTGATAAATGACGTCATATTAACAGAAATGGATAATTTTTATCGATTTCAGTGCCAGAACTGTCTTGTAGACACGATTTAATTTTGACAGTTTTAATTTGAGGAAGGGACTCCTCCCTCCCCTTTTATTTTGATGGGTATTTACATATGCTCAATTTTTTGGAATGCCTTAAATAATGAAAATTATCCTGGTTATTTTTGTTATCTGGGAAACAGAGTAAAACTTTGTGTGTGATGATGGAGTCACAGGATACAGTGTTTTAATTGCTTTAATGCATGGCGTTTTTTTTATTATTTTCAGAATGGACTTTGTTGAATTTTATGTAAAATTAATCTTACTACTATCTCTAATGCATTTTTGCAAGAGGATAAAAACAGAAAATTTGTTCAGAATGAGCAGTGGAACTGGTTTAATATAGGACTCAAAGGGAGGAAAATTGCTAATGTATAAATTGTTGATGTATAAATTGTTGATGTATAAATTGTTGATGTATAAATTGTTGATGTATAAATTGTTGATGTATAAATTGTTGATGTATAAATTGTTGATGTAAAATTGTTGATGTATAAATTGTTGATGTATAAATTGTTGATGTATAAATTGTTGACGTATAAATTGTTGATGTATAAATTGTACTCAGATTGTCAACTTTGTGCCTTTGTAATTTAATAAGTTTACATCATATTTCTTGTATTTTTTTTTTTTTTTGGTTATTACATTAAGAAAAAAATTCTCTAACATCTTAAAAGAATTTTTTTTTTTTATGAAAAAATCCTGACACTCTCATCACTTTTAATTTTGGAGTCTTGATGGTGAAAGTTATTGTTCACTATGTCTAAAATACTTGAAAAAAAAAGTGTTCCAGCAACACACATTACAGTTGATGCAGAGGAAAAACTACATCAATATTCACATTCTTCACAAAAATCTCAGTGTGAATCATTGATAACAGTTAATAAAGACAAAAAAACTCTTCAATGTTTAATGTGTTTGAAAGAATTTTCTAAAAAAGAATATTTGATGAGACACATGGGAATTCATACCAGAGAGAAACAATATAAATGTTCAGAGTGTCTGGAAGAGTTTGCAGTCAAATCTTATTTAGTAAAACACATAAGAATTCATACTGGAGAGAAACCATATCAATGTTCGGAATGTCTTAAAGAGTTTTCCATTAAATCTCATTTAGTAGAACACCTGAGAATTCATACTGGAGAGAAACCATATCAATGTTCGGAATGTCTCAAAGACTTTAAGACAAAATCTGCTTTAGTAAGACACATGAAAATTCATTCTGGAGAGAAACCATATCAATGTTCGGAATGTCTTAAAGAGTTTTCCATGAAATCTCATTTAGTAGAACACATGAGAATTCATACTGGAGAGAAACCATATCAATGTTCAGAATGTCTCAAAGGGTTTTCAAAAAATTTTAGTTTAGTGAAACACATGAGAATTCATTCTGGAGAGAAACCATATCAGTGTTCAGAATGTCTAAAAGGGTTTACCAATAAATCTAGTTTAAAGCTACACATAAGAATTCATACTGGAGAGAAACCATATCAATGTTCAGAGTGTCTAAAAGAGTTTACCATTAAATCTTGTTTTGAGCAACACACAAGAATTCATACTGGAGAGAAACCATTTCAATGTTCAGAATGTCTAAAGGATTTTTCCTTGAAATCTTATTTAGTAAAACATATGAAAATTCATGCTTAAGAGAAACCATATCAATGTTCAGAATGTCTAAGAGAGTTTTCCATAAAATCTAATTTAGTACAACACACTAGAATTCATACTGGAAAGAAACCATATTAATGTCTAACAGAGTATCCAGATCTACTTAATTTAGTAAAACACCTGAGACTTCATGCTAGTTAGAAATTTTATAAGTGTTTAACATGTAAAAATTTTCTCACAATCAGTTTTGTTAAAACAAACTCCAAGCCATATGGGAAGGAAATCTTGTCAATGGAGTGTGATTAGAAGACATAATAACATGTGATAGCAACATGCATGATAATTGGAGATAATACTAAGTCTCTCCTCACTTAGTGATGTACTCGTTTACTGATGCCTCAGACTTACGATGGTCCTTCTGATTTTCGTACTTAAATAATGTATATTAGAGCTGATTTCCTCTATTCTGTGTATTGCAATATACTGTATATTACTGTATAAACATTTACAAATACAGTGGACCCCCGGTTTACGATCAGCTCCCAATGCGACCAATTATGTAAGTGTATTTATGTAAGTGCGTTTGTACATGTATGTTTGGGAGTCTGAAATGGACTAATCTAATTCACAATATTCCTTATGGGAACAAATTCGCTCAGTAATGGCGCCTGAACATACTTCTGGAATGAAATAATATCGTAAGCCGGGGGTCCACTGTATTCCAGAAATATTATTAATGGTGCAAAGGTAATGTTAAAACAATATCAAAGATGGTTGACACAATGCTCCTCATTTAGCAACAAATTCATTTACCGACGTGGTGTTAGGAATGGAACTCTGTCGTTAAGTGAGGAGAGGCTGTATTTAACCCGTAAACAGTCCAAACGTATATATACGTTCACTATCTCAGTGCCCCGAATACTTTGAAAAATAAATAAATCATTTTTTTTTTAACCCATAAACGGTCCAAACGTATATATACGTTTTTTCAACATTTGAAAGTATGTAAAAAAAGTAGATCTTCTTTTTGTTTTTTTACATTTGAAAATGTGTAAAAAAACTTTGATCTACTGTTTTTTTTTTTTTGTTATATTTGAAAATATGTAAAAAAAACATAGATCTACTTTTGTAGCACTACACATGTGAACGTAGATCTGCTGGGACCGTTTACGGGTTAATGGAAATAAAGAGCACATTTTTCTAAGTATTATAGGATAAAAAAAAATTAGGGTCAGTACTTACCGAGATATGAGGCTGAGAAGTTGGCACTGGATGCTCATGTGACAGCAACATCGAGTCCTGCCGCTTGCAGAAGTGTTGCCGGCGTGCCTTTTTTTCTAATTTTCGTATTTTATATAATTTTTATGTTCTGATAATTACAATTTATAGTAGTTCTTGTCATTTCATAACCAATCTTTGTTCTGACACTAATATTAGGTACTGAAATTGTACTCACATTGTCACAAACACACTGACAGATGGACATTTACATCTGCCTTGGCCATTTACTATAGTCTTGGAATACAGTGGACCCTCGACCAACGGAGGCATTGACTAATGGCAAATTCGTCTAACGGCACTCTTTGCCATAAAAAAGATGGCTCTACCAATGGCAAAAAACTCATCTAACGGCGTTCGTCCCAAACGTGTCCATGTGGCCGGAGCGAGGCCTGAGCATGCCCAGCCACTCCAAGACTCAGTTTGCCATTGTTTACAAGCCGTTGTGGTCGACTCCACGTATAACTGCAATATATTTTGTATTATTCCACTGTTTTTAGTGCTTGTAACTGCTAAATAAGCCACCTTGGGCCTCAAGAAAGCTTCTAGTGCCAAGTCTGTGGTGAAAAGGGTGAGAATTGCTATGGAAATGAAGAGAAAGATCATTGAAAAATATGAAAGTGGAGTGCGTATGGCCAAGTTGGAAAGGCTATGTAACAAATCCCATTCAACCATCAGTACTATCTTGGCGAACAGAAAGGTGATCAAGGAAGCTGTTGTTGCAAAAGGTGCAAGTGTGTTTTCAAAATGGAGATCGCAAATAATTGAAGAGGTGGAGAGACTGTTGTTGGTTTGGATAAACGAAAAACAATTATTAGGAGATAGTGTCTCTCAGTCAATAATACAGTGGACCCCCGACCTATGATATTAATCATTTTCCCCATAAGAAATAATAGAAATCAAATTAATCCGTGCAAAGACACAGAAAAGTGTGAAAAAAATTTTTTTTACCACATGAAATATACATTTTCCTACACACAAAAAGAAGGATACATGCACAATATATATTGTGCATGTACTAGTGTACTAAATGAAAAATAAATGACACTTTTATTGAAGATGTGTTGATGACTGATGAGACACTGTGTCCTGGGAGTGCCTTTTCTTCCTGAGTAAAGATAAGATAAGATAAGATTTCGTTCGGATTTTTAACCCCGGAGGGTTAGCCACCCAGGATAACCCAAGAAAGTCAGTGCGTCATCGAGGACTGTCTAACTTATTTCCATTGGGGTCCTTAATCTTGTCCCCCAGGATGCGACCCACACCAGTCGACTAACACCCAGGTACCTATTTGCTGCTAGGTGAACAGGACAACAGGTGTAAGGAAACGTGTCGAAATGTTTTCCACCCGCCGGGAATCGAACCCGGGCCCTCTGTGTGTGAAGCGGGAGCTTTAGCCACCAGGCCACCGGGCCACCGACAGGCCACCGGGCCTGTCCTGTAGGTCCTGTTTGGCATTTTCTTCCAGAACAGGCCTTATCACACTGTGTATGCCACTATGATTCTTAAATCTTTCAAACCAACCTTTGCTGGCCTTAAATTCACCAGTATGAGCACTAGTTCCAGGCATTTTTTCCTGTTCACCTAGCAGCAAATAGGTACCTGGGTGTTAGTTGACTGGTGTGGGTTGCATCCTGGGAGACAAGATTAAGGACCCCAATGGAAATAAGTTAGACAGTCCTCGATGACACACTGACTTATTTGGGTTGTTCTGGGTGGCTAACCCTCCGGGGTTAATTGTTTCTCGGTATTCTCGATAAGTCACACAAAGAATGGTGCTACAGCAGCAGCAGCAGCTGACCATGGTATGATGTAGGCATACTATTGAAGATACGGTATTATGTTCCACAGTCAGCCCTCCTGGCCCTATATCACTCACTTATTTACCCCTATCTCACCTATGGAATTTATGCATGGGGCTCAACAACAACTAACCATCTCAGACCACTAATTACCCAACAAAAGGCTGCAGTTAGAATGATAACAAATTCTCACTATAGGCAGCACACTCCACCAATATTCAAAACACTCAACCTACTCACCATACAAAACATCCATACTTATTACTGCACCTATTACATACATAGAACAAATTAACTCTGATATTAACCCTCCCCCCAACATCTCCTTACCCAACCTCAACAGAACACAATGACCATAACACAAGGCACAGATCACTCTTTGATGTTCCTCGTGTCCATCTCACACTATGCAAAAAAATCAATGCACTTAAAAGGCCCTAAAATCTGGAATTCATTACCTGTAAATATAAAAGAAACACTACCTGTTTTATAAATTCAAGTCTCTTCTCAAAAAACACTTACTCACCCACAACTAAATAAATACTGAATAAATTGTATCTCATAAATTGTATCTCAAAAATGTTTTTTCATTATTGTATCTCATAAATGTCTAACCTGACCCAATTTAAATTTATTTTTTAATTACATTACCTAACAG